GGACACACACCTGAGTGGATGACACTCACCTGCTTTAGGGGAAGCTATGTGCGTTGCTCAGCCTGTGAACTCCAATGTTACTCTTTCAGAAATGCACACACAGACACACCCAGAAATCCTCCGTCATCTGCTCCCTGGACTTCTCTTAGCCCTGTCAAGTTGACACATAAATTAATCCTCACAAAGTCCTTACTTGCCTTGGGTCTGCTAACATTCCTTTGGCCAGAGTGAGCCACATGGCTGAGTGCTTCATCAGAGATGGGGCGCATGACCCCTCTGAGGTAGGTGGCACTGCAAAGTCATGAATCAGGATGAGGTGAAAATAGAGGGGCTGATAGCACGATCTTCTGCAACTCTAACCTGTTCTGTCCAGCCAAATCCAGGTGCTCAGAAGGAAGCACTGAGTCTCCTTCCCTGTCAAGGGAGCTCAGAGAAGCTTTGTAAGAAGTCCCCCTTCCTTTTCCCCACCCTCCCATGAGTTATGCTGTACTCTGGGATGTGGACATTGAAGTTCTTGGCCAGTGCCCAGCACCATCTTGCTAATGGGTTCCTGGCTGGGGCAGCCTGGCCTCATATTTTCCAGGGATCCAGGGAAAGAAAGGCAGGGCAGGTTCTACCTCATACCCAACTAATAAAGCATTTATAGATGTAGAGTGAGATATTACACCAGGAGGGGGTGAAAAAAAGGCCACTTTGAAAAGCCTTTCTAAAGCCTTCTCTCCCATCTGTTCAGCTCATGAGAAGGCTCTGTTTTCCGTACTTAAAGGATTTGTAAATTCATTACCAACAAGTAAAATGTACAAAGCACACACAGAGGCATCAAGGTCTGATTCACCATCTGCTGGGGACTTGCACCCTTGCAAACATTGTGGATCTGTTCCCCATTGTAAGAGGTGCAGACTAGGGCCCTCCCAGGCCCAGAGAAGCCAGTGGATACCCGGCTTGTCCATCACATTTTATTGTACCAGGGAAGGACTGCACAGGCCCTGGGTCTGCTTCTTCCTCCCTCCTTCCCCTATTTAGCCCTGTGGAGCTGGGGGATGCTTCTGGTGTGCTGTAAAGAATATTGTCCTAGCCCCCCAGATCATGGCAGTGGAGATGGAGAACTCCCTGGAGACCACTGTAGTTCCCAGGCTCCCTGCTCAACTGAGGCTGTTTTGGCTGATGTGGGTGGGAAGAGCATCTGAGCTGGTTTTCCCTCATGCTTCCTGCTTTCAGGCCTTTCCATTGCTTGGGCTGGAGGAGTCCACTTAGGCCTGGTCCTGGCAGATGTGCAGCTGAGGCAGTCTGTTTTTGGCACCCTGGGCCAGTGGCCTCCTGGCTCCCTCCTCCTTCTCGTCTTTCCGAATCCTTGCTGCTGTGGCCATGTGACTCCTGCTGCTCTGGCCCCTGAGACCACCCTGCCTTCATTCTGGGTGGAAGGAGAGGCTCTCTATCTAGTCAATGATGCTGTGCCAGCTTCCCATCATTATGATAAAACAGCTGAGAGTAACAATTTAAAAGAGGCAAGTTTTATTTTGGCTCATGATTTCAGAGGGTTAAGTCCATGGTCTGCTGATTCCATTGCTATGGGCCTGTAATGGGGTGGAACATCATGGCAGAGATATAGTGGAAGAAAGTTGCTCACCTCATGGTAGCCAGAAAGCAGAAAAAGAGGGAGGAGGAGAAGGCCAGGGTAAAATATACCAGCACACAACTCCAGTGACCTACTTTCTCCACCTGGACCCCACTCCTAGAGTTCCTACCAGCTCCCAATGGTCCATTCAATTAGGAACCCATCAATACGTTAATTCATTGACAAGATCAGGACCCTCATGATCTAATCACTTCCTCAAAGCCATGCCTCTGAACCCTGTGGTACTGGGGACTAAGCCTTCCCTTTAGATCCAAGCCAAAAGAAGTTAAAAAAAAAACCACATACTGGGTAACTAAATAGTGAATCATTAAGATGGAGTTGGTGGAACCCAAGATAATAAAAGCTAAGCAAATTCTCTCTGTGGGGTCTCAGAAGAGATCTGTAGGATCAGGAGTTGGCAATCTAGTGACCTATGGAAGACAGGTCCAAGCAGAGGGAACAAGTGCAAAGGACCTAGGGTGACAATGAGTTCGGTATGGCCTAAGAACAAAGAGGAGGCTAGGGTAGGCATAGCCCCATGTGCACAAGGGAAAGTGACATGCAGAGGTCCAAGGCATTAACAGGAGCACTGGAACATTAAGCCTTAATAACCAGCTCAGCCTCTGTACCGAAAGCAATGGTAACCACAGGTACAGTTTTAGGAAGGAGAAAAACATGATCTGGTTTGTTTGTTGGAGGGAAACAGAGTGGGAGGACACTGGTGCTTGGACTCCAGTGATGGTGGAGAAGATGGTGAGAGTCACCCTGATTAAGGATGTGTTTTGAGCTCCAGACAGCAGAACTTGCAGATGTATGAGATGTGAGTTAGAGACAGCAAAGATGAAGAATGAGAAAAAGCGCCTCAGCCTTTGTAAACTCTGGTGATCTCACAATGATATAGTTACATATTTGATGGACATGCAATGATGTAATCAGTTATATAATTGAATATAAAACTGCATCTTACTATAGCTTAAACAACAATAAAAAAAAGTCCAAATGCATTTAAAAAAATGCCTGTGGGGCCTCAGCCTGTCCAAAAGCAATAATTCAGTGTGGATTATATGGCTACTCATATCTTCTCTCCTTCATTCCTTTTGTATGTGCAGTCATGGAACTCTGCTTTCCCTCTCTTTCATCTCTGCCTGGCATATTGCTTCCTCTATCTTCAGGTCTCATCTAGATATGAATACTCAAGAACTTCCTAAGATGTACCAGCTCTTCCCCTCTGGTCCTCCCAATGAAGTCACTGCGCTGTTTGTTTATTTCCCTTCTTCATTTATAGGTGTATAATGCATGAAGCACTAGATCTAAATTCCCATTATAATGTAGAATTTCTTTAAATATAACAGATCCCTCACCCATTTTTGTTTCTTTTCTTTCATACTAGGGATTGAACCCCGGGTCTTTTGCATGCAAAGTAAGTGCTCTACAATTGAGCTACATCCCCAGTCCTTTTTAAATTTCGTTTGCTAAATTGTCCAGGCTGGCTTTAACTTGCAATTGTCCTGCCTCAGCCCCCTGAATACCTGGGATTACAGTTTTGCAACACATGGCCTGGCTTTCTCATTGATTTGTTGTTGTTGTTGAATCGGTTGACTCTTCACTAGCCTCCTCACAAACCTGTTTGTTCTCTTGGTGAGCTAAGCCACTGTATTCTTCACTTCCAGGCCTTTTTGCCTGGCCAAATGTCATCCATACTCCATGATGTAGCTCAAAACCACTGCTTTCTTAACTGTTTAAGTGCACGCTCATATTCCTTTTTCAAATAGAAAACTAAGAGCAGGTCCAATACCACTCTCCTTAGAAAGACCTGCTTGCAGTGTTGCCCTTGGCTGACATCTGGGAACATGGCCAGTAAATGGTCTCCTTTGCTTACACACGACATGTTCCCTCCATGACATGGTGGCTCTCCATGTCTTAGTTGTGTTTAAGCTAAACCACTTGCTTTACAACCTGAGACCAGAAATTTGGAACACAAAAAGCAGACTGCCTAGCTGGCACAGCACCAACAAGGACGTTATCACTGGGTGTCTTGGGGTCACCCTGAGCAGAAGCATCACGCACATATTGCTGAACTTTCCTTGCTGAGAGAGGGAGAGAGCAGGGGAAAGCTAGCACATGGATTCCTCTAGACACCGGGGTGCTTTTCCCCTTATAATCCAGCTGTGTGTCTTACTACATCATTTTGCATTATGGGCTAAGTCCTGTGAGCAATCAGAATGAATATTCAAACATGGTCTCTGGGACCCACGGCACATGCTCATTTGAGCAATTAACATTGTTGTGCTATTATATAACCATTTTTCTATTATATAACTAATGCTTATATGTAGGCCCTGTACTCCCACAGGACCCTGAAAGACACAGATGTGCCTTGTTTATACTTGAATTCTACTGCACACACCACACACGTCCGGACAGCCAGCCAAAGCCCAAGGAGTACCTGCGGAGACAAGGACAGAAGAAATAAAGCAAACCCCAAAGTGGCCAGTGGTTGGGGAATAGTTTCATGGCTGACTGTGGGCAAGTAGCTGCTATTTTAATGCTATTAAAGGTGTTCTGTCTCCTGGAGCAGAGGGATGCTAAACTGATCATGCTGTAGTAGGGTTTCCAAGGACAAGCTGAATTGATCAGGCCTAGTAGGGTTTCCAAGTAATTCTTAGTCATAAGGAGGCCAAGCATGCTCTGCTCAAACCCTGGGGAGAGAGAGAGCTCCTGTGTTAGATAAAAAAGATAGAAAAGTGGAAGAAACAGTTTTTCAGTGCTGCTTTCCAACGGTATATCTGCACCCCAGGGCCTCACATCTTCAGTTTGGAGGCAGCACCAGAAAGCTACAGAGTATCAAGGGGGTTTATTTTGTTTTGCAAAAGCATAGAGGTACTCACATGTGCATATATGCACAGATATGTCTCTGTAGTCACTTCCAAAATTATATGAGTATATATATGAATGGTCTTTTCTATATACATGAACGGTCTTGTTTCCCTTACGCCTGTGCTTGTTCAGGTGTATGTAAACCATGTGGATTTGCAAACATAATTACATGTGTTCACACATCTGGCATGTGCAGGCATGTATGCTTATCTACATCTTTGCATGCCAGCATGAGCCTGTGTCACATATAAATGTGCATACTGATCCTTGCTTATCTGCTCTGTTCTGAGCACAGACAGCTGCTTTAATAATATCTGCAGCTGAGCATGTGCACTAACTGCTGTGGCCCATCCTACTATCAGGATTGTTTCAGCCCTTGCAGGATTACCAGTGCTCAGTGCAGTTTAAATATATCTCCAGTCCTAATCCCTAAACAAAGACGCAATGATTTCTGCTAAATATGTTGGATTATTTATTAAGATAAAGTCAAGCAAATGAAAAGCCACATCTGGCGGGACACTGATTGCGGTTCAAACTGGAAGATCAGGAGACTGGATGCATCTCTTTCTGTAACGGGGAGGGAGGAGGTTAAAGAAATGCAAGGCCAGGGAGTGATGAAAACAGCCAGATTCCTAGAGACAGAAAGGCCACTGCTTGAGGTGACAGTAGTGCACTGCTCGTGCAGACATGCCAAGGTTGGGAAGAGAGGAAAATCCAGCCTCCCCCACTGGCTAGGATAAAGCTCAGGCCGTTCATTGAAGATCATGGACCATGAGCCCGGCCAGGAATGTGAGACCACAAAGGAGAAACAAAGAGCTCCTGCCTCCCGAGCGCCAACTTCCCTCAATCAGGCATTGTGCTAGAGGAACAGAGGAGCCGCTGCCAACTATAGAACATTGTTAGGCAATAGGAGGATGTATTCTGTTCTCTAGAAACCTGTGGTCTTGGTGGGCACCCAGAGAGGATTCCAGCTCATGCAGGAACCTCTGATAATGAGACTAGGAAGCCTGCATGAGCCTATGGGAGCTCCTGAGTACAGAGGGGAAGGTCAGAGATGCAGCAAAGCTTGCTAGCTCCAGAAAGCAGAGAAGCCAACTCAGGGAGATCAGAGAGACTGGAGAGTGGACTCGTCACGTCTGAAGCCAGAGTGCTCCTTTCTCTGCTGTTCCATGCCCCCAGACCTCCTAATGTAGTCAACAAGGCTGTTGTTTTGCACACAGACAAAGTTCTGATCTGAAATCTGCAGGAAGATCTAAGTGTTGGCTGTGAGCTTCAGTGAGTAGCAACCTCATCACACTCCAGAGGGTTCTGTAGAATACAGGTACAATGGACTGTAGTTTTCAATTCCTCTAAATGAGACAACATGCTGAGACATTATTCAGCAATTGCATGTATGAAGCTTGTGTTAGATCCCATGGGAGGAAGTAAGAAAGTATAGTCCTGCCTTGAATGAAATAAGACTCATGTTATCATTGATATTGTTTGGACTTAAATCTGTTATCATTCCTTTTTTGTCCATATGCTCCTATATGTTCTTCTAATATCTTCTTTTGTTTACCTCCTTTGCTGACTTATTAACAACAAGTCTTAGTTGTGTTATTTTAATGGTTGTTTTAGGGTTTATAGATACATATTCGACTTATTACAGTCTACCTTCAAGTGATATAATACCATTTCACATATAAGAACTTTACCATCTTATCTTCCTATTTCTCCTCTCCTTTGTCTGACATGTTCTTTCTATACATGCACCATATACATTGCTAATACTTTTGCTTTAAATAGTCAATTATCTTTTAATGTAACGTAAAGAAGAAAAAGATATTATGTAATCATACACTAACCCACACAGTTACCATTTTCAGTAGTCTTTGCTCTGATATTGATTTTCTGAAAGTTATTTTTGCTCAGCATAGAATGTTAGCATGGCAGTTTTATTCTTCTAGTATTTAAAAGACGTTGCTCCACTCTTACTTTGCTTACAGTGTTTCTGATGAGAAATCTGCTGTTACCTTTGTCTTAATTTCTCTCTATATAAAGTGTTTCTTCTCTGTTTTCAAGGTTCGTATTTTTCATCATTCATTGTCTATGTCACTTTCCTCATTGCTGGGAGAAAACACTTGATACTCACAATTTAAAGGAAGAGAGGTTTGTTTCTGCTTACAGTCACAATTCCTTCTCTGCTGGTTCCAAGGCAGAAAGAGCGTGGGGGAAGGCCTGGATGGAAGAAAGCGGCTCTTATCCTGGAAGCCATGCAGGGAGAAGGGGGTGACAGGGAGGATTTACCCCCTTCCAGGACACACCCCCAGTGACCCGCCTCTTCTGACCAGGCTCCACCTCCCAACAGCCCACACAGCCACTGACCTTACCAGCGGTTGAATGCACCAAGGAGTACGGCTCCTCCATGATTCACCCACCCACTAAATGCCCCATTAATGAATGCATGAGAAATTTTTGGGGGTGGCAATTTTAATTTAAATTACAATACTCACTTTGAGTGTTTTGACAGGAAAAGCACTTGACACAAGCCAACTTCAATTTCAAATAAAATGTTTCAGGAAACAAAAAATAAGGGAATATTTCAACCTAATAATAAGCATCAGCAAAATTTTACAGTTGACATCATGCTTAATACTTTTCTCCTAACAGCAGGAAATGTCCACTCTCACCACTTCTATTCAACATTGTACTAGAGATTCTAGACAGTGGAGTAAAGTAAGAAAAAGAATTAAAAAGGAAGAAAGGGAAATGTAAAACTATCATATATCTAGGCAAGATAAATTACTATTTCAAAGTGAATACCCATGCTAAAAAGCCTATGGGATATAGCATTACATACAAAATACAACTAGAATTAGCAAGTTTAGCAAGTTGCAGAAAAGAAGATCTATATAAAAATTTCAATGGTATTTTTATTAGCAAAGAACATCAAAAGTTGAAACTTTAAAAATACCATTTGTAATACCATAAAGTTATAAAATGCTTAAGGATAAATCTGGCAAATTATTTCTCATACACTGAAAACTGTAAATCATTTCTGAAAGAAACTGAATAAGTCTTAAATAAGACATATCAAGTTCATAAATTGTCAAATCAATATTGCTTAGATGCTGCCTGTCCCCAAATGATCTCTAGATACAGTGTAATTCCAGTTGAAACCAAAGAACTTTCTACGTAGAAATCAATAAGCCAAGTCTAAAGTTCCTATGGGAATGCAATATAGCCAAACAAACTCTGCAAAACCTAAGAACTAACACTAAGACGTAGGTAGAAATGCTCACAGTATCTCTGTTTGTAGTATCCCCGACCAGACAACTATCTAAATATCCATCAAAAGGTAAAGAGATAATATAACTGTGTTCTCTGCATAAGCCTTTGCTGGTGTTGACCAAGGTGGACTCCAGAGAAGGTTGAAATCAAATTCATTGACATCATCTGCAAGTTTGACCTTGGCCACTTCCAGACCATAGAGGAGAAGAAAGTTTTCATGAGACCACATAAGAAAGACTTAACAGTTAAGGTACCTAATGTTAGGAGCGTATTTTGCAGCAGGTAGGAGCTTAGTAAAAGTAGTTTCCCAGTGGGGAGAAAAAAACGAATTACTAGTAGACAAATCAATGTGGGTGAATCTGAAAATAATTGATGTGTGAAAAAACACCAAAAGAGGACATTACATGATTCTACATAAATTTACAAAATGTACACTCTGATATATAGCAATAGAAGACAAATGGTCCCTGGGATGATGGGTCAGAGAAAATGAGGAAGAGTGAGAAGGAGGGAAACCCAGGGGAAGGTGATACTTATGACGGTGGTGACAGTGTCATGGGTGTAATGCACACAAATATTAACAAATTGTTGACTTAAATATGTATAATTTATTGTATGTGTACCATGCCTACAATGAAGCTGTCAAATAAATTAAGAATAAAATAATAATTATGTTTTGATTAATTGATAACAAAGGCAGAGTCTGATTGTAATGGACACCTACAGACATACTCTATTGTTTGTTGATTCACTCCACATGGCATTTATATAATAAATTGATGCTGAAAGGGTCATTTCTGTACCCTTGAAGTAGATGCATTTGTTGAACATAAATTGAGCCTCTTGTGTGTGAGGAGAAAAACCAAAACAATGAAATGTGAAAAACCAGACTATTGAGAGGCACAAATGGTCATTGTCAAGTCTAGAGTAGATTCTAGGCAAACTGGGGAGTCTTGAAAAGAGTGTGAATATTATTCTTTGAAAAGGCATTAAATGCTCGTTCTGAATAATCTTTGTCAGGAAGAACATGGGTTGAACCTTGCCTTACTCTCTCCATCTGGCCTGTCTCACAGGATAAATGCAGGAAGTCACATGTAATGAAATGTCAAAGTGCAGAGGGAGCAGACCATCATGCTTAGTGAGGCTCTTCTCTGTTCTTCAGGGAAACTACACATCTCCAGAAGAACATGGCCATGTAATGAGGCTCCACCAGGAGAAAGCAGAGCCCGGAAGTGCCACAGGAGTGACAGGTGCTGACAGAGGACACTTTGTAGTCTCTGGTCCTGGACATATGAGGGTGATGTAACACTGTTCCTTCCCAGCATTGTGAAGGTGGGAAGAGCTGGGCCGCCTGGTAGTCACATATTTTCTAGTGCTCACCTGTGGGCTCTATCCTGTTGTTTATCCAGCTCCTCTGGTCCTTCCTTGTTATGGTCTGCAGGATTTTTTTTTTTTTTTGTACTGGGGATTGAACTCGGGTCCTTGCGCTTGCAAGGCAGGCCACTGAACCGCTGAGCTAAATCCCCGGACCCTTTAGGATTTGATTCTAGTCATCTCTCCCTCACAGTCTTAGCGTTGCTATGGGCAAGCCTATTTTAATTTTGTCCATCCCATAAAGGTTTTTTTTTTAAGGAAGAACTTCATTAGAAGACTCAGAGAAAAGCAAAACAAGTCAAAGGTACAAAGAAATGATGAAATAACAGAGTAAGGAGCTTTATCTTCCCAGACTCCAGCTACCACAGCAAGGGCACCTAGGATCCAACTCTTTTATTCAACTGCATTAGGCATCAAGGCCAGCCTAGACTTCCCAAATTTCTCACTCAAGGCTAGTTTCTAGTTGGTGCTGCTCCTGCATCTTGAGTCCCTTTTAGTTTGGGAGCCATGTGAGTTTTCTCTGAATCTCAGGCTGTACGTTCTGGATCTTGGCAGCTGCTTTCCTCCCTTCTGAAGGGAGGGAGCCTTAGGCCTTTCATATTCCAACCCTGTTTAAGACAGGGGTCATGTCTATTTAGGTTAAATTCTATTCCTTATGCACAGTGAGGCATGTAGCAATCAGGAAGTACTCAGTAAACACTTGTTAGAGGAAAGCGTGCCACTGAGACTCAGCACTATTTCACCCAACCTGTCTGATTATCCCTCCTGCAGTTATGGACCACCCTGGCCAAAAAAGCATCTCACCTGAACTATTAGTTATATTTTTTTGAAACCTGATTTCAAAAATGTACCAGAAATCTGCTTTTGTTCCCAGCTCTGCCATGTGGGAGAACTCACTGGGTGATGGGGTGTCATGTCACCCAATGTTTTGAGTCTCATTTTTCTTATTAGTACAGTAAGTGTGAAAATCATAATTTGAGTCACTTAGAGAAGGCTCTAAAACCTTTCCCAAATGTTATTAGCCCTCCTCCAAATGTGCTACAGCACTTCATCATCTGCATAGGACTGAACACAGGCTAGGTGTGGGGACAGGTTGCTTATTCCTTCCCGCTTATCCTATTCCAGGCACCACAGCCTCTGGGAGGGGAGCTCTCCAGGCCTGGCTGGCATCTCTGCTTGGTGAGTTTAGGAGGAACAGAATCTAAGCAGCTGTTTTCAGTGCCTCTTCTTAGTGTGTGTTGCAGGGCAAGTGTGATACCCGGAGCTGGCTGAGAATGTGTGGATAATCAACATGAAGTAGAATGAAATCAAGCAACTGGACTCACCTGCTAATGATAGGCTCTAGCCTCACCCCGCCTTACTGGTTGTTATTTTCGACTGTGCACCTGCTCGCAGAACAAAGTTCAGGGGCCCAGACTGTGAGGGCAAGGTGCGGAGTCACCACACAGACTCCGGGGAGGTTTCTGGAACGCTTCCGCTGTACTCAGGAAATGCACAGGTTTATATAGGGTAAGACAGGGTGGAGCCAGGGTGGAGTTGGGATATTTGGCACGTCATTATTGGCCACATGTTAGTTTTTGGATGCTTTAGGGGCTGAGGGAATGGAGTCAGGACTTTAGTAGTGGTTTTAGAGAGAACAGTTTATCTGCCTAAAGTCAGATCTCTACATACCCGAGGGGGCGGAATATTCCAGCCCTAATAGGCCTCGGAGTTTACTCACAAGAGATGGGTGCAGCATTCCTGACTCAGCCAGACATTAATCTGATCCTCAGTTTCCCCTCTTGTCTTTGACTCCAAGCCTCAGCCAAAAGGACCACATTTTTATGATTTTGTTACTGGAACATCTGATCTTTAAAATAAAGAACAATAACAATATGCCAAACAAGGTTAAAATATATGGGATCCCAATATCAATCCACGTATCCAACTACTCAAATTATTCCATCCAGCCTGAGTTTATAACCAAATGGTATCCCACACATTATTTAAAGTTACAACATCTAACGCCTGGGTATTAATTCCACCCAAACCATGTTTAATTGGATTTGCAAGTTGAGTATGGCTGCTTGGACATCTTGAAATAGCAGGATGGTCTTTTTGAAGGCTTGGGTGGTGTTTTTTGTTAGCTGGTTGACCGTTGTTGTCGTCGCCACTTGATTTTGTGAGGTGACTGTTGCTGTTGTTTTGGTGGAAATAGCTTCCAGGGAAGACAAAAGGACCTTCGGCCACCATCACATAGCTGTCGGACTCCCCTGCTGACCAGGCTCCCCTCCCAGCTCAGCAGGCCCCGGTGACACGAAGCTGCAGGTCTTTCCGCTCCAAAACTACTTTGGAGCTCCCAGCTGTGTCGGACTGGGCTTTGGAGGAGGAGGCTGGGCAGCCCAGAGGCTGAGGGCCCTGAAGCCATGCTAAGGTCCTATGAAAGGATTGGTTCTCCTCATCTGACCAGTAAGATGGCAGCGCACAGGATGGAGGCTGCCATCTTGGACAGGAAAAGGTAGACTCTTCCAGATTACCATTATTCCAGTGATAAGGGGGTTTTAGCTGGGGCATTTTATCAACAGGAAGTGAGAGACCGGTGGGCTGGGCTGATGCCTTTGGGGAAGAAGAAAGCAGAAGAGACAGTCCTCCTGCGTCACCTTTTTAAAGAGGCTTTTGTCCACCATCTTTAGAGCGCTCAGGGAGCCCTACACCCACCTGAGTTTGGGCTGGAAACGTTTCTGACACCTTTAAGGCATGAGGAGCCTTTACTAAGGAGTGCTGTACTGGCTGTTCTTGACTCATGACATTACCCATAATAGGAGGGATCCTTACCCGAAACTTCAATATTTACCCAGTATACGTGAGTCCCCTGTTTGGGTGCCACTGGTGATAATGTCATTGCTCTGCTATGCCTTTGTCAGACTCAAGGTCTCAAACATGCTAAAGATATAATTCACTGTACTAATTCTTTCAGTAAATTGTCTCCTGGTATCTATTTGCCAGTTCACGTAGTTCTACATTTTGGTGTTGGGGGGGGCACACGATTAGTTGAGTCCCTTCAGGGCCAACAGTTGCCATTTTTGCTTATTCTTACCAAGTGCCATCCCAAGATTCTTCACATTCAGAATCCCTGGGAGTGGAGTGTTGCTAAGTAGCTCCCTTTCCTGAAAGCAGGACTTGAGTTAAAGCTCCTGAAGCTCAAGTACAAGGGCAGATAGCTGTATGGCACAGTGGGGAGGGGGCTGTCATAATAGCTCATTGTTCTGTCTTCTCCGTACCCAAGTCTACCCTCCTTCCCCTGCCGGTGCTTACCAGCATCCCCCTTCAGGCTCTAGCCCCAGTCTTCTCCAGGGCAACTCTTGTCTCTCCTGTTCTCACTGCACCCCAACTTCAAGTCTCAGCTGTCTTCACATCTCCCCCAAGAAACTTTCCTTGACTCTTGGAATCTGATAACTGACTCTCAGGATGAGGTGAGCAGTGCTGATGTGTGTGCAAGGTGCTCTGGAGAAATAAATTGTGCAAAAGGTGAACACAGACTTGGAGAAGAAATTCTAGCTCTGGCAAAAGACTGAAGAACCTGGAGGCTGTGCCCACCCCTCAGTGAGTAATGGGCCCCTCAGTCTTGAGTTATGGCCACATGCTGGATTATCATTTTGAATAGTTCAGCAGGGCTGCAGGAGGGGCAGGCAGGTGCACTCAGCAGCCATTTTAGCAATCACCCAGGGCTGATTTTGGCAGGGGCATCACTGGCATATAGATACTGGGAGATAGTTTACTGAAAGAATTAGTACAATGAATCATATCTTTAGCATGTCTGAGACCTTGGCAATTGAGCCAGCAGGGAGAAAACCAGAAAGTAGGTTTCCAGATCTGGGGTCGTCAGGATCCCCATACTTGGTAACCAATATAAAAACCCAGGCGTCTGCTATATTTACAGGACATATGTGAGATTTATAAGCAGGCTTGCTGCTAACAAGACATATTCAGAGGCAAGGCAATGTGGCACTAAGGTTATTCAATGAGGTCAGAAAACTGGTTTGAAATCCTACATTAGCCTCTGACTAGATGGGTGAATCACAAAACATCCCCAAGCCTCAATTTCTCAAACTATGATATGAAAAAAGGCAACTATCACTGCTCTTTGTATCCATAGTGGCAGCGTGGGAATCAAAAGAGATAATGCACTTGAAATCACTTTATAAGCTATACAACCATTTTACAAGCGCGATACACTATCAGTATCTGTGACAATCTCTCTCTTTTTCACTGTACATTTGCTATACATAATTGCATTTATTTTGGGAGAATATATATATATTCCTGTGGTCTCACCATCCACCTAGGTTACTGCCCAGGTACCTTATGGAGCAGTCCTCTGCTCTTACTCATATTCTTCATGTCCAAATCCAACATTTTTATTTTACTCTTTTCCCTAAGGCGATGTGTTCCTCAGTCATCAGGGTAAAACATTCTTTCAGAGAAAGGCTGTATTAGTACAATTATCACTTTAGGGTGTATACTACTTTGTACAATGTGCACCTATGAAGGAATGAGTCTGCAAGTGTGGGGATTTGAGGGAAGCTCTAAGGTCAGAAGTCTTCAGTGTCTCCAGTCCTGAAGGTCAGGTTACTTGGGAGAGAATAGAAAGCCCAGAAATCCACGAAGCTCACTTCCTGCTCTAATCTGTCCCCCACCTACCCACTCTGCACAGCCAATGCAGTTTCCATGTTCATTAAGCAGTTTAGTCTCAAAGCATAATCTTATGGTAGCCTTCTAAACATTGCAATTAGGTTCGGTCTGCTTGTGAACTTGTGAGTGTCTCCTCATACCTGGAATGTTACACTGAGGGCTCAGAACACAGTGCTGAAGTCAAACCTGTAGCTGGTTTTACATGCCCTATGCCAAAGTGCCCACCAGAAAACTAATCAAAACCTATTTTGAAATACTGTAGTGCATCATTCATACTTTAGTAGATGTTGTGGATCTCTCAGAAAAGACAGACTCTGGGGAAGCTCAGCCCAGGCAAGAAATGACTTAGGATGCAAGAGAATCCCACGAAGGCAGGCGAGAATTCCATCTTTTATTAATATTGAGTGCTTGAATCATTTACTCCCTCATGAAAGAACCTGTGGCTTACTGTATTCTAGTCCAGTCTAGTGATCCAGCATGGTTTTAAGGCAAAAGATGAGATCTTTGAATTGAGTCTGCATGAAAAGGAAATATCTTGATAGGAAGAGTTAAAGAAGAGTGAGAGGTCAGACACTGTGGCTATAAGAAAACCACCAGTAAAGAGTAAGGAAATAGCTGATGTTTTGCATTAGCAGTTAAGCAGGGAAAATGAGGCGAAAGAGGGAAAGATGAAACCAGAAATGTGAATAGAGCCAGTATTCAGAGGACCAGATAGGAAAGATTATGGAATTTAAACATTTGGGTGTAGGCAAATGGAAACCCACCTGGGAGTAAGGGACCCATCGGAGATCTTAGGCTGGGACATGGCACAGTCAGACTTTTGGCCCAGTCACAAAGTCAAGGGGACAGAGAATGAGGTAGGGAAGAGAATAAAGGCAGAGAGAACAGGAGACACCTGTCACAGACATAATGAGGTGCAGAAATGGAAAGTGACAATGGGAGGGAAAAGACTGGGATGGAATCAGGAGGGAAATTATCATAACCTGATGGCTGTTTGGGCATGGGACTCGAGGAGTTGGAGGGGCCCAGCTTGAATGACTGGAAAAATGTCCCGAGAAACACACAAGCGCAGGAGCAGATGATGAGCAAGAAGAGCTCCATTTTGGCCAAGCTGAATTCGATGTTTAATCGTCTGAGATTTCAGGGAGCTCCATTGGCACTGTTCGGTGATGTTACAATTTCCTCTCAGCAACCAGAAGCTCTAAGCTGTGGAGAAGCTGATGTTTCCCTCTCGTTTTTTTTCTTCTTTTTCTGTGCGGCCTTTCTTTTCTTTCTTTCCAGTGTTTCCTTACTAGACATAACCATGCTACCCCCTCCACTGCAGCACCTTCCTATCTTCATGGAGTAAAAGATGGAAGGCAGAAGCCCTAAGACAAGAAGAGAAGGGAAAAAGATGTCCATGTACTGAAAAGTACCCATGGCTCAGTGTGGATGGACTGTATCAACTAGTATGTATTTCCAACTATCAACTTCTTATTAAGATCACAGCACAGCCTAGGATTATGGATACCTGATGCACCCTTTTTTATCCTACCGTTCAGTGTTCATGTCCTACTCACCCATCACCCTTGGATCTAGAGCCTGACCAGCCCACACTGTTCACCTCCACACTTTCCTAACGGTGCACTTGTCATTCAGCACACCCTACACCCTTTCTCCCCTCACTAAGAAGTCTTACCCTTTTGGGGGGCTGAGCATAAGCCCCAGCTTCTCCAGGCTGCCTGCCCCGGTTATTGTAGCCCCCTTGATAGGTCACTGTGTTCAGTGAGCACACTCCTCGGAGTGCTTCATTGTGTACATCTCCTGTAGTGTTCCTTAGTGATTTCAGTAAGTTTCCAACTCCCTGGGGAAAGCGTACTCATAACTAAGCTCATAGTTGAAGATTACCTGGAGGCCATTGCCCCTTGCACCTGCCCAGCCGCTACACTTCTAGGGCAATCTGTTTTGCTGACAGAGTTCACTCATTGAGAGAAGAATGATGTCTTAGGAAACATAAGACGTTTTTGTTCAAAAAACGAGACTAGCAAAAGAAGAAAGAAATAGAACCAGAAAAGCTAGGGGAAGAAATGGAAGAAGGCAGCGCTATTGAGTGTCCATTTGATCAGAGACGGGGGAAGAGGTTTAGGAATGACTTCTGTCTGGTGGAGAGGAGGACTTCAGTGAAAACATATGGAGAGCCCTGGGATATTGCAGGGCTGTTTTTTTTCCCTATAGCATGCAAGGCTTTGAGGCATCTTAAAACTATTTAAATTGCTTTTCTTTTGTTGTTATCACAAAGGGATTTAGTTGTATTTCTATTGCAATTAATAACGTAGCAAATAAATTACAAGTAACTTTGTGTCAACAATATTTCAAACTCTTATTGTCATGGAGGAGAATGAGCAATCCCTCAGACATTTTAGAAAACAAAAAAATCAATATAATTTTTAATGAACATGGATTATGTGCCTTGCTTATGCAAGGTACTGTGGGCAATTTAGAAAAAAAAGTGTAACACCAAATCAATAAAAATATTATTTAAAGTTTTGTTTAAGGGACATTTAAAAATATACAAAGAAAGAAGGTGCCCATCACTCATGTGTTACTGCCTGAAAGATAACATGTTAGCATGTTTGCCGTAAGTCTTATCTTTTTAGAGAAAAATGCCGATGTTCTGGAAACAGAGTGAAATTTTTAAATAATACAAGAAAAAAACAAAGATGAAGTAAAATATCATGAACCATACCATCTAGAAATAATAATTATAACCAAGTGAACATCATTCTGGATATCTTTCTGGGCAAACACAGTCAGCAGAGGTCATCTGGGGTGTTCCTTTTGGGACATAGAATCCTGCCTTAAAATATATTTAATTTTGCTTGACTTTAACCTATAAAACAGTATCTGATGTTAAACTGTAAGACTATCCAAACTTCAAATAACTGGATCCTCACCATTGGGATGAACTTTTCCAGAAAGATTCCATTAAGCTTTTTTAAGAAAGGAATTTAAAACACATTAAGAAGTGAAAAATATTATTTTTTAAGTGATGCTTGCCCACATAATAACTGCATATGTTTTTAAAATTTACTTTAGTTTTCTGGTCACCTGTAATCAAAATAATTACAGGGCTACTTTCCTGTGATGGTAACTTGGTTTCCAGAGATGCCTATTATGTTCTTGCATTTTACAGTGATTTGTTGTTTGCAAATGGTCAAACAATTGGTCTCCATTTTTTTTTTTTTTTTTTTTTTTTTTTTTTTTTCCCTCTGT